ACCCAGGAGATGGCCGTCTGGCACTCATGGTCAACCTTCGGACGGGAAGTAGATACTGCAGCAGAGTACGTTTTTTGTTGAGAGATTTGAAAAGTGCTTGGTATCAATTTCTTTGCTTCAGCAAAAGATATATTATTTGTGTGTTTAATTTTCAGAATTTGGGCTTGTCTTTCAAAGGATGGACATGATCTGGAGGAGGACATATGTTCACCATGACAATTTGCACACTTGATGTCATTTGTGCAGTCGGCATTGTCATGTTTTCCAGTACAGCGAGAACAAATTTGAGTGTTGTTACATGCGGTAGCACTGTGTCCAAACTGCTGACACTTAAAACACCGAAGAGGATTCGGGATGTAGACTTCCACCCCGATGTTAAAATATCCGGCTTTAATTGTTGTTGGTATGGTTGAAAGACAAAATGTAAAAAGATATGTGTTAATTTTGAGAATCTTCTCCCCATCTTTTCTTGTGAATCTTTTCACAGAGGTAACACCTTGTGACTGAAGTTCTGATGCAATGTCGACTTCTGTCATATCAGACAGACATTGTGCCCTATCGCGGACAATGCCTCGACAAGAATTCAATGTTCTATGTGGCGAGACATCAATCCTGGTATTTGCAAAGTGACGTGCTTTGAGCAAATTGAGTGACTGTTGCTTCCTGGCACATTCCACCAGCAAGGCACCTGTTCTGAGACGAGTAATGTTTTTGACATCGCCACATATTCCAGCAATAGCTTTAGATATTGCAAAAGGGTTGAGCTTTAGTGGTTGTCCTTCAATTCCCTGTACAACCAGGAAACGGGGCCAAGAATCCAAACCAGTTGTCCCTGATTCGTCATCAGAAGACGATACAAAGTCTAAATCTATGTTTTCTCTTTGGTTGAGAACGAGAACCAGAAGATAGTTGGGTAGCCATAATGAATAAATGTAGGTTCAACATCCCCGCTCCCCACCCACCATGGAGTGTCAACAAGGACGGTGTTGAAGTGGAAACCGACTAGAGAACACCAGGGTTACAGGGATGTTATACTCGAGCAAGACAGACACAGGAAGCTAATATTGCCAAACAGAAGAAAAGTCAGGCTGGTCCGCCCTTGACAGTTTTCTGAAGACGATTAGAACCCGGAGGTCAGTAATGCCAGATTGGCCCATGAGCCACCGCCTTCTGGCATAGGACTCTAGGCAATACAATATCATGAATAATTTAAATTTAGAGTAGCCAAGACCAAAATAATATATGAAATATGTGCAATAATACTCACTATGCACAGGGCCTGGCGTGACCAGCCGATTGAGAGAACCGGGCCAGTTCTACCACCCGTCTAGGTGAAGTAAGGGTCAAAGTGGTGTGTTGGGCAACAGGAACACGGTTCCAGGCTCCTATTGCCCTCAACCACCAGAATCCCGTCCTCCACCGACACAGGGGCGCAACCCACGGCAAACAGGTTGGTGGACCAAATATTCCCCAGGTCCACAACGGGGGGTTGAAGGGCGCTTAGCGTTACCCAGCACCCACCACGAGGAGGTGGCCCTTCATGGGTGCCCTTTATCGACAGAACAATCTTCAGATTATGATCTTGTCCAAAGGACCCTTCTAAAAGCTTATGAGTTAGTTCCCGAAGCTTATCGTCAGAAATTCAGAAAAGGACAATGAGACTTTTGTAGAGTTTGCTAGAGAGAAGGAAACTTTGTCACAGATTTTGATGGTTTGAGGCAATTAGTTTTGATGGATGATTTCAAGCAGAGTGTTCATTCTGATCTCAAGACTGATTTGGATGAATATAAAGTTGATGACTTAGGATGGTGGTTCTGAGGAGAGTTTTCTTTGTGATAGTAAGTCCCCAGATTCTGTAGTTCGGAAGGAGTATTCGCCCTTTGTATCTAAAGGTTATGTGTCACTTATGGGAGATGATTCCACCCCAGGGCCCACTCTTCAGTCTCTGACTTTTAAGGATATTTTGCCTTTTCTGATGAGTCCTCAGCGAACTCAGATGTTTTGCTTCAGGCTATAGGGGTCAATTTTGCTGCTCCTCTCCATTTTGTGAATTTGACTTCAGATCTGATTTCTAGTAAGGTGAAAGTTGGGGTTCTTGACTCTCTCCCAGTTCTGGGTGTCAATTTGTTGATTGTTAATGATCTTATGGAGGCCAACGTTGGTGCTGATGGTATTGTCACTGTTTCTCCGGAGAGCTCAGTTAGTACAGAAAAGTTGGGGGATGATTTTCCGGGTATTTTTCCCTCTTGCGCAGGACTCGTTCCATGTCGAAGGTCATTTCTTTGCCAACTGATTCCATTTATGATTTGTCAGGTACTTTTATGGATCATTCTTTTTGTGATGTAGAGGCTGATCTTCAAAGGGTAATAACTCTTCAGGTCTTCTTGATAAGTCTGATAGTTTGTTAAGTGGTGATCACTTTCGTTCCAGTGAGTGAGTGAGTGGGTTAAAATTTAAAGTCACATCGGCAATATTTCAGCCATATCGTGACTAAAACAAGTTTTTAACTTCATCATAAATGCATGTAAATCGCCAAAAGCTTGTAAAAGGACTGTAAAACCAACTAGAATATCACAGACATCAAAAATATAACTAGTATCTATCTCTGAAAATGGATTTCAAATTAGGACAATACAATACAAAAAACGGGCTACAGATCGCCAGCAACCGAAGGTAGATCACCATACTAGGGACCAGAGAGCAGGTTTTTAGTGCGCGGGGTGAGGATGTTGAGTTGCAGAAATTGGCTAGTAAGGCATTTCTTTTGAGGAGGTCAGCAAGGTTCCAGTTTGTTATTACCTCAAGGATGGTGTTCTAGTGAGGAAATATAGGTCGCCGGAGGTTTCCCGCGGAGGATGAAATTTTATCACCAAATTGTTGTACCAAAACTATTTCGAAATCATGTACTATCAATGACAAATGCAAGTCCCATGGCAGGTCATCTGAGTGTAAACAAAACTTGTGAGAACATTTTGGCACATTTCTTTTGGAACAGCTTGAGACAAGATGTGGCTGAATTTTGCAAGACCTGTCATGCATGCCAACTTGTTGGAGAACCAAATCAGAAACGTCCTACCGCTCATTTAAACCTATACCAGCTTTTGAGGAATCTTTCCGTAGAGTTATCGTTGATTGTGTTTGTCCACTACCTAAGACTGGTAATCAGTATCTGCTCACTATCATGTGTGCTTCTACCAGATTTCCTGAAGCAATTCCTCTTCGTAGGACTGTCGCTCCTGTGATTGTCAAGGCTTTGATCAGGTTTTTCACCTCAGTTGCAATTGGTTTGACAGATGTTGTTCAGTCGGATCAGGGCTCAAATGTTATGTCTAAAGTGTCTGAGTTATGTACTAGTTGGGTATTGAGTAAATTAAATCTAGTGCGTGCGTGTGTATTTTTACACTGCTTTTAGCAATATCCCAGCGATATCACATTGGGGGATACCAGAAATGGGCTTCACACATTGTATTAAGTCTAGTACTTATCGATAACCCAGAGTCACAGGGACCTTTTGAGAGGCTTCATCAAACTTTGAAGAATATAATCACGACTTATTGTTTTGAGACAGAGAAAGATATGGATGAGGGTGTGCATATGTTGATGTTTGCTGTCAGGGAGTCAATTCACTAAAGTTTAGGGTTTAGTCCCTTTAAACCTGTATTTGCTGAGTCGACGGGGCGTCGTCATACCTGGCTGAGCGACCTAATTGCCATCTATAGTCTGATCTATTTTTTCAGCAGCTATTCGTATTTTTTCCCGATTTTACGAGTAAAAATGCTTTTTCTGGAAATCCTATTACGCATCCCACTAAACGCCCAGCAATTGAGTAAATTTTAAGGATACAGAATAACAGCTGCAAAACAGTTTTTTTTCTATGTCCGACAGTACTTTAATATACTTGGGCTGTCAGATCCACGCATGAAGCTAAAACTAAATTCTGTATCCCATGTAATGAAAGAATCACCATAAGGGATCTAAATCTAAAAACAATCGAGAATCGCTTTACTTATGTAAATCTTCATTAAATTATTGATTTGTTTAAAAATAACTGTTTGAAAACGTTTGATTGTTCTGTAGATAGATGTATGTTATTTTATAAATGGTAGGTTTAAAAAGGCAACTGAAATCGTTAGTTGTTGTATCCTCAAAGGGGGTTAAAGTATTGTAAAATTATTGTCCTCCTGAAGGGTACGTAATTCCCGATTTTTAAAAATTGGTTCTACCCCATTTTTAATTGTAGAAACATAATGTCATTATAATTGATGGCTATATTTTGTTCAATCGCTACTATCTGGGGGGATGGTGTAAATCCAGCTTGGGTCCATGCAGGTAGCAAACGTAGGCTGCTTGGTCCCTAGTTTGATTATCAACCTTCAGTTGCTGTCGATCTTTAGACCGGTTTCATAATGTGTTGTGTATAGAAATATTGTTTTGTGGTTACTTGCTTTTCTATATGTAATTCTGTGATATTCTAGTCATGTTCTGTCTATGTTGACAGGTATGCATATCGTTTAAGTTTGTTAATAATCTGTAACGTTCATAGTCACGATATTGCTGAAATACTGGCGATATGACTTTATATTTAAACTCACTCACTCATACATTGTACTTATGGGAGATCAACTGGTGATTTTGTCCTAACGTGTCAAATATTTGACGTACTTTTAAATGAAAAAGTGAAGTAAAGCGGATATTTATAACATATCAACGATAAATCACCCATATATCCGCGTTTTACAGAGATACCATACCGCCAGTTGTTACGAACATAAAATTTACACCAACTTCATAATAGCTTCCTTCCATTTTTTCTTTCATTTTTTGTTTTGTTTGTTTGTTATTTGTTTTGTTTTGTTTTTTCTTAACTTGCGGATGGGGGTGACGATTAGGTTGCAGCAACATTAAGAATAGGGTGTTCTCAGCATGTTATTTCAAAAGTCGGTCGTGATGACTCTGAATGAAACAGGGTGTGACACTGACATCAAGGGCCCTTATTGCAGGTGTCTCAACCTACAGTACCTGCTGCAAAGCTCCGGGTCTCTCTTGTAAGGTACACAAGGGCTCGTCAAGAATTCAAAACAGACTGATGACGAAAACCTGTCCCCGGGGATCAGTGCTCACTGGTTGTGCAGGATATGAAAGTTTGGCGCAGCAGCGGGGATCCTTTATAAAAGGTAAATTGATAACAGATCGGTGACACTATCATAGGTACACAGGCATAGTTCTGAGGTATGGTTAATTTATTATTCTTGTGAGATTTTTCAGTCACCGCGTCTTAATCTAATTCCTTCTTTAAAAGATATTTAGATATGTTCAATCCTTGCAAAGTTACTTACCTTTTAACCCTTTCAACCTTACGTGGTCAGGAACTTTAGTGCCGAGTTTCGGTAGCTTTGGGTCCACGTGTATCTGTGGAAGAAGAGTGAGTGAGTTTAGTTATACGCCGCTTTTAGCTATATTCCAGCAATATCACGGCGGGGAACAGCTGAAAGGGGCTTCAAAAATTGTAGCCATGTGGGGAATAGAACCCGGGTCTTCGGCGTGAAGAGCGAACGCTTTGACCACAAGGCTACCCCACCGCCCCGTGGAAGAAGAGACAGAATGAGGAACCTTTTATAAATATGTTCATAAAATAATAACAAAATGAAACAAAATAAAACGTTTTGCAACCTGCATAACCAAACAGCCAGCAGATACAACTGACTGAACCAGCTGTTTTCCTCTGCTTTCGTTAACTTCAATGTTTTCAATTCGTCTCTTAGATATGTTACATTTAATATTCGGAAAATTTCAATCATTATTCTGTAACAAATAAGACCTTTTATTAAGCAATTACCTAATAATGCATGATGTTGTTTTTAATAAGCAGCATTAAACGCCCCACTATCACTTTGTCGACTCTTGGGGAGTATTTTCACTCTGGAGTACATGAGTGAGTGAGTTGAGACTTTTATTCACATGGAAGTGGCTAAAACAAGCTATACATACTGACTCCGGTGGTCAGGTTTGCTGACCTGGTTGACACGTGTCACCGTATCCCAATGAGTTGGTTGATGCTGATGACGTTGATCACTGGATTGTCTGGTCCAGACTCGATTATTTACAGACCGCCGCAATTTAGCTGGAATATATCTGAATGCGGCGTTCAAAAACAAAACAAAACATAACAAAACATGCTTGAAAGAACATATCATAAAACCTCTCGAAAAAACACAGTATAATCAACTAAAACATACAGGTTTGTTCAAGATGTAAAACCTGGCTTGTAATTATAAAACTATTTTACTATTGAAGACAATTCAATATATAAAGGGGCTCTTAATGGCTAGCAACTGAAGGAAGATCACCATACAAAGCACCACTGGGACTTTTCCTACCTGCATGGACCCCAGCTTGATTTATGGTCTAGAAGCCAGAACCCCATAATGGTGAAAATGTGAAGCAGTTCTGATTTTCACAATCAGGAATTGATTTAAAGCCGGTGGTCATCAGCTATCGTGTGTGACTTCCGTGCAGGGGCCCTTTTAAGGTGCATCATGTCATATCAGTTATGGCAATATTTTAACCGATAGCTGGATGGTTTAAATTAATAACTCTGTTTTGGATTGACCGATTTTATCAAAATAGTAGTTTGGGAATGCTAAGATCATGATTTCAAGTTGTGGAAAATAATATTGCATATATGCTCATCGCAAAAGTATTTTGGTGAGGTCAAAGGTCAGTTTTAATAGAAAGGGCATTTAAAGAGAAACTACGAGTTGAACTTTACAAATTAAAGGTAATTTTTCCAAAATTATGCTTTTCTGATTCAGCTATATCATTTGAAGATCATGTATACCTTTCGTTGGCATTGTATTCATGTGAGTGAGTGAGTTTAGTTTTACGTCGCACTCAGCATTGACCCAGCTATATGGATGCGATATGCTCCCGTTTGTCGCCTCTTACGACAAGCATGGGTTACTAAAGGCCAATATTCTAACCCGAACCTTCACGGGTGGCATTGTATTCATGAAAAAACATACAAAGGAAACAAAGGTTGGTACTTGTATTTAGATTACTTAATGTCTGTTCAACAGTAACAGCTCCATGCTTTACATAGTATCAACGATACCAAATTTGTCGAAGATACTGTTGGACAATCATTATAATCACACAACATAACAGAAAGCTTTTAAATGTATAAATCTATTATTCCATATGTCTTTCTTTGATCATCAAAGAATGATGAGTGAGTCATGTCATCATAACCCCAGCAATATTTCCTTCTTATCAATTCGTGTCTATTGTTCCTAATAGTCAGTGTCAACAATGTCAAGATCACGGGGACATGTTTCAAGTCCACATCCACATGCTGAAGTACACGACAGGTTCAACCTCTTACAGCTACACCTTCCTGTACATTGACGTTTACATGCACAGATATAAAGTTGAAGAAGGTCCACGGAAACGATTTAGTCTTAAGTTATTTGCAACTGTAATACCCCTTAGGAATATTTGATGAAGATCTATTACGACAGAAACTACAAAATATTAAGTGCCTACTTTTATGGAGAACTCAAATATATTCCTAGATAATATTCATATAAACATCTTGCTTCTACTGTAACGCTCATAACAAATATGTATACCTCAGTTTTAGTAATATGTAATGATATACACAAAGAGTTACATATAGCATGGTCATAACAGTATGAGCATCGATCTTCACAAGTGGGATACGATGGCATGCATCAAACAAGTAAGTGAGAACGGTTGCTGAAGATCCATTTTGACCCCAAAAAAATTTGAGTCAAAAAAGAAACTTCACATTCTTTCTTCAGGGCACTATAAAAGAACAAGAGATGGTAAGATGGTTAAATTGTTATTATTTCATTGCTGAGATCTGTGTGATGTACTCGATACACTGACAGTGCTATAATCAGTTCCATTAGGCTACACCGCCGTTCCAAAACATGGGTATACAGAATGTCAAGTCACAAGAATAAAAATGCGAAATTTCTCAGTTCAATATCGTGTATGGCCGCCCCGCGCATTTACCACTGCCAAACACCGTCTCCTCATCGACTGCCTGATGCTTGTGAACACGTGGTTGGGGATTCTGCGACATTGCTCTTGCAAGGCAGTGCCAAGTTCCTGCAAATTCTGAGGTTGGTTCCTAAGACCACGAAGCCTTCTCCCAAGTGCATCCCAAACGTGCTCTATTGGATTAAGGTCAGGGGACCTCGATGGCCAGTCCATGACGTTGATTCCAGCGTGTCAACATCGCGGTATGCGGCCGAGCGTTATCATGCTGGAACTGTAGACCTGGGCCATGAGCCGCCATGAAAGGAACGAGTTCAGGAGTGAGCACCTGGTCGCGGTAAGCAGCAGCTGTGAGGTTTCCACGGATGACCAGAAGTCGGGACGGTTTATCCCACAGAAAGCACCCCACACCATGCCACGCCCCCGAATCTGTCGACTTCCTGTACACAACATTGGGCATACCGTTCACGACGTCGTCTCCAGACTCTATGCCTGCCGTCCGCGAATCTGAGGGTAAACCTGGATTCATCGCTAAAGACGACTCGATTCCAGTCCCCTCTGGGGCCATCGGAGGTGACGTTGGGCCCACAGCAGACGTTGACGTTGATAAAACGGCGTCAATATTGGCCCACGATATGGACGTCGAGAATGGAGATTGGCAGCCCGCAACCGATTTAGAATGGTCTGTGAGGACAGTCGACCTCTAAACCCTTCAGCCCTGGTTCGTGTTGTCGGCAGAAATCTGTCACGTAGGTGACGTAGGACGATTTGACGGTCTTCTGCTCGTGACGTCACACGTGGACGACCCGACCTTGGGCGATCAGAAGTGGTGCCAGTTTGTTGTAGACGACCTCGCAAGTCATACACAGTACGACGGCTGCATCCCATTGCTCTTGCGACGTCAATAACTGATCTTCCCGCTTGCAACATGCCAACGGCACGTTCACGTTGCACATTTGACAATCGTGGCATTTCAAGTACCGTTAGAACTGTGGTTTGAAAGTGTTTTTTCAATTCTTGAGGCCAATGCAAACACGTGCATGTGAAGAAAACTTCGATGCGAAGATCCACGTGATCGACTGCACGTGCAAAACCTGATTTGGCACTAACGTCATTTGCACGACGAATGGATGGGTTTGAGTGGGTTTTGCTAACGTTTTTCTAGAGTCGACAGATAGGGATCCCATGTCGGATACATAGATGTATCATCAGAGAAAAATTATTTATTATTTTTCAAATTACATTTTGTGAAGTTTCTTTTTTGACTCAGTATATTTGTGAACCTGTGAGAATGGTTAATGAATATATACATAGTCAGTCTCGTCTCGTCAGCTGATGACCGTCGACAATACAACGCCAGCTCTAAAATATTGACAGACCTGACACCCAGATGAACACTACCAAGTCTGCTGTTGTCAACTGCATTGTTCCAACAGATATTATGAAGCCACCAGCTGTGATCAGCAAAGCGTGTTTCAATTGAAGGACATCTTCTGCTTGCCCAGATCTATTTATTTATTACGAATGCTAATATTATTAGGAGATTAGGTTTTTCAAATGCGTACCCCTCCTTGTAAGAATCACATTCGCTCTGTATCGCTGGGACTTACACATGCCAGTTGTCTGTCTCATACTCCATACTTTCGGCCCAACCCTTCCTGTAATGGAATAGTCTTGACCCCCACTGGTTCTGAATCCTATTTTCAGAGGCTTATGCTTTGCATAACGTGCTATCATACTGTAATTATGGATCCAAACATGCCCCGAATATGCCTATTGGTTTTTCAAGACCATATCTATATTTCTGAATTTCTCCCACATTAAACAACTGTTGTTAGATCCAATATTAAACTTGCACGTTGCGTAGCCTTTTTACGTCACCGGGTTTTGTGCGTGCGTTTCTAAATAACACAGAAAGTAGCGAATTAAGTGACTTACTTTTTATTTGTACCATACTGACTGACTGACTGAGTTTTACGCCGCTTTTAGCAATATTCCAGCTACATCACGACGGGGGACACCAGAAATGGGCTTCACACAATGTACCCATGTGGGGATTGGAACCCGGGTCTTCGGCCGTGACTAGCCAACGCTTTAACTACTAGACTACCCCACCGCCCCGTTTGTACCATAAGAGTCCGGTGTGTGTTTGTTTCTGTGTCGGTCTGTCTGTCTGTCTGTGTGTCTCTGTGTCTGTCTGTGTGTGTGTGTGTCTATGTGTCTGTCGGTGTGTGTGTCGGTCGGTCTCCGTCGGTCCCTCCCCCCTCTCTCTCTCTCTCTCTCCCTCTCTCTCTCTCTCTCTCTCTCTCTCTCTCTCTCTCTCTCTCTCTCTCTCTCTCTCTCTCTCTCTCTCTGTGTGTGTGTGTGTGTGTGTGTGTGTGTGTGTGTGTGTGTGTATGTGTGTGTGACGGGGACTAAAGGTAGGGCAAACTGTGCCAACCATTTCCGCAAACACACTTCAAATCAAGATGGACGTCTTCATGACCATGACTACATCCTAGTCGCTATATTTAATCAGGGGTAAATTTCTTAATGTTTGCACTGTAAACTGATCACCATGTAGATGCTTGATGGGCATTTCGAAGTTGGAAGGTAACATAACAACGTATTGTATGGATTTACATTTACTTCTTTATTTGTTACAACACGACGTTTCTGGGCTGCATCTTGCCCCCTTCACCTCATGAATGGGCAAGAAGTAGCCCAGGGGCTCCTTTCATAAAGCACTAAGATGATCGTAAGTCACTAAGCTAACCTTAGGTCAATGTTAAGGAATGGGAGTTAAGGTTAACCTCAGTAAAGGTTGCTTCGTGAAAGGAGGCCCTGAAACGCCGTGTCTTTATGATATTGAATATCTGCTTGATTTTATGGAATATGGAAAGGTTGATCCAAGTACATTGCATGTACGATTGCTTGTGCGATCTTTTAATCAGCATGATTATTTTCTCCAATTAGCCATGGGGCAGTGGATAGAGAGGAAAGATGGGTAGGTATCTCTTCAAGGCGTTAATACGTCCAGACCTCCAGCGTTGCTAAAAAACACTATTTACAAATCAATACATTTGAAAACAACCTTACCTAAAAGAACTTTGAAAAGTAAAACAACATTGTGTGAAAGTACCTGTGAGTAATGCAGCTGTAAGCAGGTTGTTTACAGATGTTCTGTTATTGATTGAATACATGAATCATGAATCAAGAACTGCATTGCATAATGCATGGATGCGAAACATGTCGCAAATTGTAATGTTGTTGTCAGTTAATACTCAATAAACCAGAAGACTTATAACATATTGCATAGCCTAAACAACTAGTAAACATTAAGCCTGTAACGTCTGTAGCCCTTTTCTCCCACTCACATTTGTCTGAAGAACCGACATTGGGTTGAAGCGAAGTGACCTAATGGAAATCCGTCCGCTTGCAAAATTGAAAATTTACAAACGTTTCCCCATCTGAGGATATATTCATATTTCGAACCCAAGTAAACTTACGAAAGAATCGGAAATTACATCACCTATTACAATCAACAGCAATGTATTGGAAATAATGTGTATTTCAGAGGTATATGGGGTGTGTATATATTTGGTAGTAAGATACCAATACGTCTTTCAGATCAGTGTGCCATATCTTTTACAATGTATTCATGATTGTCAGTGTGAAATAAATCAACAAACCAAAGTCGTAATATTTCACCTTGTAAACAGAAATAAATGACACACCATAATGTCACTTGCAAACCTTCCATTAGGATGTCATATTACTATACATCAGCTTTAAGGGTTTCACAGCACGTCAGTGCCGTGCCGCTGGAGCGTGAAGTGACACACATATAAACAACATTGACACTTATCAAAACATATCTCCTTCTGACGTCATCTGAATTGTTGTTTCTGCCAGAATGTCAATAAACGGAAATTTGTATGACAGTTCAACATTATCTTCGTCATATTTAGTATTGTTGATATATTGTAAAGCATGGAGCTGAAATTGTCTTATATTTTACTGATCTAAACACAGAGTACCAACGTTTGTTTCCTTGTTAATGGTGATTCATGCTGAATTAGAAAAACATAATTTTGGTAAAACTACCTTATATTTGTAAAATTGATAAAGTTGCAAATAGCTTAAGAGTAAATCGTTTCTGTGAACCTTCTTCAACTTCATATCTGTGCATGTGAACGTCAATGTGCAAGAGTGAGTGAATGAGTTTAGTTTTACGCCTCACTCAGCAATATTCCAGCTACATGGTGGCGGTCTGTAAATAATCGAGTCTGGACCAGACAATCCAGTGATCAACAGCATGAGCATCGATCTGCGCAATTGGGGACCGATGACATGTGTCAAACAAGTAAGCGAGCCTGCCCATCCGTTCCAGTTAGTCGCCTCTTACGACAAGCATTGTCGCCATTTGTGGCAAGCATTGGTTGCTGAAGACCTATTCTACCCCGGATCTTCACGGGTCCAATGTGCAACAAGGTGTAGCGGTAAGAGGTTGAACCTGTTGTGTACTTCAGCTTGTGGATGTGGACTTGAAACATGTCTCTGTGATCTTGACATTGTTGACACTGACTATTAAGAACAATAGACACGAATTGATATGAAGGAAATATTGCTTGCGTTATGATGACATGACTCACTCATCATTCTTTGATGATCAAAGAAAGACATATGGAATAATAGATTTATACATTTAAGAGCTTTTTTATGTTGTGTGATTTTAATGATAGTCCAACAGTATCATCGGCATATTTGGTATCAAATACACAATGCCATTTTAGAAAGTGGTCAAATATAACATATGTTATATTTAGGATTACACTTTCTCAGTAAAGTACAGATTCTAGTACTTTTGTTGGGTTGAGTCACATATGTTATATTTGGTATCGTTGATATTATGTAAAGCATGGAGCTATTACTGTTGAACAGACATTATGTAATAGTTTGCTTTTGGAAAAATTACCTTTAATTTGTAAAGTTCCACTCGAATGCCCTTTCTATTAAACTTGACCTTTGACCTTACCAAAATATTTTTGCAATGAACATATATGAAATAATATTGTCCACAATTTTAAACATGATCTGAGCATTCCCAAACTACTATTTTGATGAAAATCGGTCAATCCAAACCAGAGTTATTAATTAAACCATCCAGTTATCGGTTATAATATTGCTATAACTGATAAAGGGCCGTAAAGGGCCCCTGCACGGTAGTCACGCACGGTAGCTGAGGACAACCGGCTTTAAGTCAAAGCTTAATCATTCCTGATTGTGAAAAACCACATCCCATTCGGTAGCCAGAACAGCACCACATTTTCACCATTTAGGGGTTCTGGCTTCTAGACCATTACACCACCCCTTCGGTCGTTGGCAATTGTACTCAGAGTTATCCATCACTTAAAACCACAAATATACTTATATTAATATACTACTATCTTGTAGGCCTAAATTTATTTTGAATGCTTGGAGACTTACGTACCCTCTCAGGGGGACAATACGTTCACAATACTTCAACCCCTTTCAGAATAGTGCCACTAAAAATATCAGTTGCTAATATAATCTACCAATTATAAACTAACATATATCTATTTACAAAACATATTTATGTGACTTTTTCAAGCAATTCTGTTTATGTAATGATAACTAGACATTTTATTTTGAAGTCGCGAAAGGTCTGAAAATAGTATATATCGTTTTTACCTGAACTGTTTATGGATATAGTATAGAGCTGTTTATGTGGCATAAACTGGAATATGCTGTGAAAACAGACATGTTATCTAGTAATTGAGAAGATGTTGTTCAGGATCAAAGACAGGTGTATTACAGTCTCACTCGTAGTACATATAAAACTTCATTTACATATACAGCATAAAGAAAATATGCTACGACCAGTCGCTCAGCCACTTACGAGAGTTACAGTTACACCAACAACTGCACCACCATCCTTAGGTCCATCAGTAAATACGCGAGTGAGTTTAGTTTTACGCCGCACTCAGCAATATATCCAGCCATATGGCGGCGGTCTGTAAATAATAAAGTCTGGAGCATACACTCCAGTGATCACCAGCTAATAGTAGAATAGGTGTCATTTTAATGTATGGCTAGATTTGTCTGAATTGCTAACAGCTGGAGGGATGGTGTAAATCCATCTAGGGTCCATGCAGGTAGCAAAGGTACTGCAAGTCCCCATGGTCCTAAGTATGGTGATCTACCTTCAGTTGTTGGCAATCTATAGCCTGTTTTTATATCATCTTGTCATATTTGTTTTAGATTTAATTACGAGTTATAAATTTATATCAGTGATAATTCAGTTGTTTTACTGTCCTTCGTTTACAGGTTTATATAATTTACCTTTAAATAGTATAAATCAAGAACTTGATTTAGTCACGATATGGCTGAAATACTGACGATGTGACTTAAAATCTCAACTCACTTACTCACTCAGTGATCAACAGCATGAACATCGATCAACGCAGTTAGGATACGATGACATGTGTGAACCAAGATCCCATTAGTCGCCTCTTACGAGAAGCATGGGTTATTGAAGATCAATTCTAACCCGGATCTTCACGGGTCCATCAGTAAATAAATATATCCAAGTTATGTGACTTTTGTATGTTTCTTAATAGATTTTGTTCTTGTTGCTATATTTGTTGGTTGGTTTCTGTTTTCTTAAGTTTGGTTAAAGTTAGATTAAAAGTTGGTTGGGAGCAATATATTAAAGGTTGATATTGGCAACAGATGTAGCATATTTGCTTTTTATCACACCAGGTGGTGGAATGAGATTACTGTAATATATCTGCGTACACAGGTCAGTTTGTATTTATGTCATACCAGTGTTGCTCTGGTATCATACCTGTATTCACGGATTCCCATTTCGGTTTCAGATGTCAGGGGAACCTCAAGATGTCACGTGGAAGGCAATAATAGGAACACCGTTGTTTACTATGTTTGTTGCCGATCAAGACCGACCTAACTCAAGCTCCTGGTTCTGAGCTCTGATAATCTCCCATACGGTTTTCGTTCTTAAATAAGCGAGAGAGTATACTTCATTAATGCAGGAATGGCGTCTTTTTTCAAATTGTAACCAGAGTTTATCTTTATTAAACTGCATCTGCAAACGCATCCTGTCATGATCTTTTAGTTTTGACTTGCATCAATAATTGTAAGGCAAACTACTTCGTTCGACTGACGATCATACAGATTAAATTATAGTACAATAGGGATCGGCCTCCGGGGCAATGCCGTAACCCATACATTATGCCAGGCGCTGTGTAAATGCAATAAATTCAATACAACAATAGCTTCCATCTTCAACTAAGGCCGTGCAAACATACAATGGGAAGGCTAAATTGTACGGAACAAGTAAGATATCAGGAAGATGTTCCAGGTAGCAGTACCCTTGTGCAATCATAGAAATGTGACCTCATGATACCTTATCAGTAGAGGACATGTTGTAAATAAGAACTACACGTAAAGGACAGGCAATGGATGAAAATGACAGAATGCACTTCGATATAAAACGTCAATGAACAAGAAGCATTGTCATGATGTTTCGCCGACACTTCGATTTTGACTCCTAGGGTATAACAGCTGTGAAACTCATATGAACATACCACTGAAGACCATAGACGATAAAACAATCATGCAGATACAATACATCACAAGCAGCGGAGGGTTAGAATATATATTATGATACCTGAAAAATTCCTTATCATGATTTATTCCCAACGCTCAGTCATCATCGGTTGTTGACAATGTCCACTGTAACACCCCTTTTTGATGGTGCATCAAACAATAGCATGTCATTTTAGGATACTTCAACTCATGTCGAGGGTTCAACAGCCAATGTTTTACGATTTTGCCAATGAATATGATTTCTTCATCTGTTCCTTGACGACATGCTATATCGTCCATAATAGGAATCTTGAATGCGTGTCAGTGTATATTGACATTGTGCTATATCGTCCATAATAGGAATCTTGAATGCGTGTCAGTGTATATTGACATTGTGCTATATCGTCCATAATAGGAATCTTGAATGCGTGTCAGTGTATATTGACATTGTGCTTTGTTGTCCATAATATGAATCTCCGACTCATTTAAAATATATATTTATTATTGAGAGGAGTCAGCGATTTTGCTTTTAGCAATATTCCAGCAATATTACGACGGGGGACACCAGAACTGGGTTTCACACATGGTACTCACGTGGGGAATCGAATAGCGTGACGAGCGAACGCTTTAACCACTAGGCTACCCCATGGCCCCTTATTGAGAGGAACAAGACATTCTGTACTAGCCATGTTTGTTCTCTTACGTGTTGATACCCAAGCTGAAACGTAACTGTTAACCGAGAATCAGTCTGTAAGAGAACTATGCGTGACACCAACAAACAAATGTGCTGTGATTAGCAGTTGTATTATAAACTCGATTGAGTTCACAAATCAGAACAAAGGTATCACTACCACAGCACTAAATTGTGAGGCAGTACAAATTCAGACCCAATATCAACCAATAATTAGTGAGTTAAAATCGATAACTAGCGACTTGATATCATTCAATGGCAATCAATAACCAGTGAGTTGTTTTCAATCAATGGCAATAAATAACCAGTTAGTTGTTATCAATCAATGTCAATGAATAACCAGTGAGTTGTTATCAATCAATGGTCATCAGTAACCAGTGAGTTGTTATCAATCAATAACCAGTGAGTTGATATCAATCAATGTCAATCAATAACCAGTGAGATGTTATCAATCAATGGCAATCAATAACCCGTGAGCTGATATCAATCAATAACCAGTGAGTTGATATCAATCAATAACCAGTGAGTTGATATCAATCAATGGTAATCAATTACCAGTGAGTTGATATCAATCAATGGCAATCAATAACCAGAGAGTTGTTATTAATCAATGAGTTGATATCAATCAAAAACCAGTGAATTGTAATCAATCAATAACTGATGACTTGAAGTCAATCATTGGCAATCAATAAGTAGTGAGTTGATATCACTCAATGGCAATCAAAAAGTAGTGAGCTGATACCATGTTCATATTACTACGTGTCAAGTACATGAGTTGATATCATGTAAACGAACTCCAATTTCGTTATTCAGTTCAGTTGTTGGCAATAAATAACCTGTTTTTATATTGTATTGTCATCTATAGTTACAATGTTTTAGTGTTAATGACTAGTTTTAAATTGAGATAAACTAGTTGTTTTACTGTCCTTCGCTGACAGTTTTGTTTTTAATTTACTTTTATTTATTGTAAACAAATTATTTTTGTAAATGGTTTGTACATATTTGTAGTCATGATATGGCTGAAATAATGCCGATGTGACTTAACATCTTAATTCACTCACTCACTCACTATACAGTTCAGTTTTTAGTATGACCCACGTCACTAATCCGCATCAAAGGATTTTCACTGTAATACCAATTGTGTTTTCCAGGGAAGACACCGACTGTATAATCAAAGAGCAGCGGTTATAACTATAGTGATTGTAATGTTCAGCACTCGGCAACGGTAAGCCAACTTGCAACTAGGGTTAGGCAGGATATAATCGTCACACACAATGCCTTAATGGTGCCTTGAGATGTGATGTGAGACAAGAGGCAATAACCAGCTCCCCTTACATACCTAACAAAAGATGCGATCTACACAAAGGCAGATGATTCTGGAATAAGCCCCTCGGGGCCTCTTCCAAATCATTCCACACTACTGTGTCTAAATCCAGTCTAAATATATCATACCACTGCCCCACTGAATGTACAGGTACAATGTATAATAGTTAAAACATAAGGAAGGATGAAAATATATGGATGAACAACTTCTTTATTACATTGAGCGCGATGTTTCGGTGAAGGTTCTATAACACCGTTATCAAGGTAGTGATGAAAACCTACGGTGTTAGAACCTTCACCGAAACGCCGCTCTCACTGTAATAAACAAGTTGTTCGTCCATATTTTGTTTTGGTTAATAATTTGCCGTGACAAAAGGTTAAAAGTCCCCTTTGAACCAGCAAAATAGAACACAGACAAGTCTAAAATATTCAATAATATATTGAACAAACAATGAGCAGACAGCCTCCCGTGGTGTAGTGGTTAGAGCGTCCGCCCGGAGAGCGGAAGGTCGCGGGTTCGATCCCCGACCGCGTCATACCAAAAGATGTTAAAAATGGTAGTTGTTGGTCCCTGTCTGGCGCTCGGCATTAATGGGTACAACAAGGACTGGTCGGCTCGGAGTCAGCATAATGTGTCTGAGTGGGGTATTCATGCTTCACTGCGGGATGGTATCTCAGTGGGCTAGCACTATAAAACCAGCTTAAGTCTGGGCTAGTACAAGCAGCCGCACATACACGTACACACGCATGCACGTCGTCATAATTATGAGCGAAATATTCTCAAGCCCGACGTAAAAACCCAATTTCACCTCACAAACAATGAGCAAGCTACAAAGAATGACAATACAGATATCTACTACAATGCAATTGAGTCACAAATCTAAAATATTGGATCACAAATATACAATATTAACTCACAAGAGTCTTGCCATTTACAGTGAGAGCAGATATACTGATTGAAGGTTGTATACAATGACAATAGACGAATAGGCAAGCACGATCAGTCTTGAAATGACGATGGCGGACAGGTGTTGATAAATCCAGTCAAAAGTCCCGTCGCACAACACAACAACCAGCCTTTATATAGCTCTTACACAGTTCTCGAGCATTCTAGTAAAGGTGGGCAGCATCATTATCCACTCAGAACATTAGGCGATTTTCTCGAACATACGACCGGAAGTCAAAACAAAATAAAGCCAGCCAAGATGGGCATCTCTGAAGTGCTATCTCAAAAGGCGAACCGCTAAAAATACTAGTATTGAACATATATGATGCGAGATGCGAGCCAAAACCCACACTCAAAACTTTAAACACTGTGACCCATAATGACTATCACCTAATCAATGTGATATTACAATTAAATATTACAAAAACCATACTCTCGTGACAATATTGTCATCCTTCCAACTTCTAAATGCCTCTCAAAGAAGTTAAAACACTGCTCTAAAACGTATAACACTGCTTCATAGCAGTTCACAAAGATGAAATTGTTTCTGTAAAGCGGAGTAGCACAACTTTGGCTTTTTAAATTATATGATGATATGAAAATATCCTCCCCAGCCGCATTGTTATAATTCAAATCTAAGTGTGTATAACATTTAACCCGTCACAGGCCTTCCAAAAGAGACAAACAGAACACCCGAATACGAGCTTTAAATAGCATAGCCACAAACTTTCCAGCCATGATGCAATATCCATGTACTTTTATATTGTGAAGATATATACCCTACACATATTAATGGAGACCAGGACAAACATGGGTGTAAGTGAGATGGCCTGTTTCTTTACTTAAAATGGAAGTAAGAATAAGTATTTTTTTAATCCGCTGACTTGTGCGTGCTGGAGCAAAATCATTTATATATTTGATATTTGATATTACTACCCCAAAGCATTGATTTGCAACTGAGGGATCAACACCTGAATGCACTTATGCCCACTGAACTGATAACCATGCTTAAAGCAGGGTCAACATAACGTCACGTTGCAAATATGTCTTATGTCAACATAAGGGTATGAAGGAGCCATTACCAGGGAGGGACTAGAATCCATCACGTTTTGGGGTGGGTTCAGCAGAGCTTGAAACACGGCCTCTATTTCCGACTGCGTGACAAATGTGAGCTACAGCGAGGCTAACCGCATCAATGCAACCGTATCGTATGGTGCAATCGAACTGGTCTGCATCCTTATGGACGACAGCACAAGCCTCCATCGTGCTAAGGTCGTTGATTCTTACCTGGAGCAGGAACAATGTTCGCCTGAAGGGACCCACTCGGTCACCATACCTTATACCTGTCCATACCTTATACTTAGTGCAATCGATCTGGTCTGCATCCTCATGGACGACAGCACACGCCTCCATCATGCTAAGGTCGTTGATTCTTACCTGGAGCACGAACAATGTTCGCCTGAAGAGACCCACTCGGTCACCATACCTTATACCTGTCCAACATTCGTGAAACGAGCTGCAGATCTGCCATCACTCACCTGTCCTTCCAGAAACCCTTTAAGGAAAAGTAAAACAACCGTGCCTTGGCAACCATCCACACATTTTTGGGGTACATAATTATAATACAAAGTGAGTGAGTATGCTTTTACGCCGTTTTTAACACTATTCCAACAATATCACGGCAGGGGAAATCAGAAATGGGCTTCACACATTGTACGGATGTCGGGAATCGACATAATACAAAGATGCCAGGGTGTGACCGTGTCACGTAGATGACACACGCACCACTGGGGCTTCACGTTTTAGGGTTTGTTTTTGTGACTTATTGTCAGTGATGGCGCACATGGCGTTATCGATGCTTTAAACGAGTTAAATCTAGTGAGAACAGAACATAAAATAATTTACCGCTTCATTTGTTGACATATAATAAAAGTTATTATAACATATGATATTACACCATCCATCTTATCTCTAAGTTTTACTATGTGTGTATAGGGATATATTTTATCTATGCATTCTTTTATGGAGTTTATGTGTCTCGTAGGCCTGTAAAGGCCGGGCAGATGTTTCTCTCTCTATATAATAAGTCATCTTCTATAGCGCACAGCCTCCAAACACCAAGTCTTTGCTCGCGACGCTTAATCGGAATCTGATTTATATTACCCCGGATAACCCAAGGTTATAGGTTATAGTCACATGGCTTTATCCAACCGGGTACCCATTTTCTGCTGGGTGAACAGAGGTAATTTCAAACAAACTCACTTGCCTAAGGAGAGACCACATGTATCACATATGTACCACGCAGATCCATTCATGAAGGTAAGTCCCCATGGTCCCTGGTATGGTGATCTACCTTCAGTTGTTGTCAGTCTACAGCCTGTTTTTATATTGTATCGTCTTGTATAGTAAATATGTTTCAATTTTTTATTTACTAATTTTTAACTTTACATCTGTGATAAACTAGTTGTTTTACTGACATATATTTATAATAATTATAGGTAAATTACAAAAGTCTAACTTGATATAGTCACATTATGGCTGAAATACTGCCTATGTGACTTAAAATTTTAACTCACTCACTCACTCACTCATTCACGAAGGATGGTGGCACAGCTGATCATGAGTGCCCAGCTGACACAAAACGTTTTGGCAACGTTGTGGGAAGGCTGTAGACTGGAAGCATATGAAGGTATGGTGTAAATCTAGCTTGGGTGGAGAAAGCAAATGAACTGTGTGGTGATCTGATCTATAGCTTGTTATATATTGCCGTGTCTTTTACAGTTAACATGTTTTAGATTTAATAATTAGTTTTACATTAATAAATGTGAGTGCTAGATGTTTTACTGTCATTCGTTGACAGGTGTTTATAATTTACTTTATTTATCATGAATCTATAATTGGTTTTACTCACGATGTGTCCGACTTAAAATCTTCACTCACACTAGAAACGCAATAAGTCTGGGGTAACATTACTGGTAGTATCAGAACATGAATTCAACGTTTTCACTTTTTGGGTGACGAACGTCTACATTTATCTGTTTAACACCCGATAGGATTAGTATTCGACACCGTTTCAATGGCGCGAGTTCGTACATTGTAGGTCTAATGCTTAAGAAATGGATTTTATTTGCTTTGGGAGCACTTCTCTCTGAACCACATTTTGTCAGGGAACATAATTCGATCACAGTACACAGCTTGGGATGACATTGGCATACCCGGGGTTGAATTTTGAATTTTGATTTCTTTTTAAAATGCCGCCTAGGTATTTACAGGAATCGACCATTCCAAAAATATCGTGACCAATTATATTCCTATTTTATCCGATAGGTATTTATTTTGGGGGTTGGGCTGTTTTTAACGCCGCACTCAGTAATATTCCAGCTATAGAGCGGCGATCTGATCAACGTCATGAGCATAGATCTACGCAACTGGGATACGATGACATGTATTTGCATGTCAACCAAGTCAGCGAGCCACTCTCCTACCCAGAGTTCCATGCGTCAAGCCAGCATAGTACCTATGCCACAGGCCAGAAAGATGTGACGATTCGTCACATCTTGCACCGTCCATTCAATATAATCTACATATTTCTTAACTCTTTTATTTTTGACGAGTCTACACATCTAATTAAACATCTTTGATAGAATGGTTTAGTTTCACTGAGAAAATATCCTAAAACATGTAACACTATTTCCATTTGCGTAGCGATCCTTTGTTTACATAGGTTAACCTTGTACGGCTCCACGTGCTGTCATCGAAGCCAACAGAGAGCAAACGATGCAACCAGTTTGATATCTAAATATGTACTGTCATAAACCTTCCTGGCGCAGCCCCCTCTTGTGACAAGCATGGTTACTGAAGACCAATTCTAACCCGGATCTTCACGGGTCTATTTAAAGTTTTAGTTTTGGTAATATTACTTAGCCGTCAATGTATACAACATCTATGAAATGATTGTAATGTACATAATTTTGATAAGCATCCATGGCACACTGCATCATCAACATGCGTCATTGTACGTGTGTGCGTCAGTTTTACATATCATTGTTATTATGGACGGTAGCATTTCATTTCCGTGATAATGCGAATGTTTGCTTAGTCGTTATTTGATATGCTTTGTAGGCAAATGTGAGGTGACAACGCGGTGTTTAGTTAAGGAGTAACTACCGACACCTGTGGGGCTTCGGGAAATACAAATAGACTCTCGAGCTACAAACGAACTGCGCACTGTAAAACTACCACGTGCTTTCAGGGGGAACTGGGAACTGCGCGAGGTGAGTACCGAATGAGCGTATAGTGGCAATGTGATTGTGAACTACGTATTGCTTGAAACTGACACTGCAGTACTGACACAACAATGGAACGTTCACTATGAACTTGTTCGCTATCACTAAGGACCAAAAAGCAACGCGAATGACACATAGGCGGTAAGGACAAATATATCTGTTTTACAATCGGTGTGAACCCGAGTCTGGTCGATCAGTCGTCTGTCAAAGATTTCCAAGAGCGCAGATCAAATAGCGATTGAGAAGTTATAATGCATGATTACTTCCCCTGATGTTCGAACGGTCGGATGCATAGTGTCTGTTATATATCATCAATATTGTACATACATCCGTTGGTTTGTCATTTGACGCTGCAAGTCACGTGTTGTGTGCTTTTAAAATAGAGACCACGAACAATCATAGACCCATGCCTTTTGCAAATACATGATAATTCCCTCATGTATTCATTTGCATATCTCACCTCATGATCTCACCTCATAAACACACATCTCACCTCATAAACACACATCTCACCTCATGATCACATATCTCACCTCATGATCACATATCTCACCTCATGATCACCCATGTCACCTCATAAACACACATCTCACCCCATAAACACACATCTCACCTCAAACTCACATCTCACCTCATAAACACACATCTCACCCCATAAACACACATCTCACCTCATAAACACACATCTCACCTCATAAACACACATCTCACCTCATAAACACACATCTCACCCCATAAACACACATCTCACCTCATAAACACACATCTCACCTACAAACACAGACCTCACCCCATAATCACATATCTCACCTCATGTACACACATGTAGATCACATCGCATGTACACACGCCAAGCAAATCTCTCCTCATATACACACATCGTACACATCGTACACACATGACCTCGTGTAAACACTAATACATCTCATCTAGTATAAACCGTATGCATGACGTACATACACCATACAAATATCTCCTCGAATACATATCACGTCGCCTTATTCTATGCACAACAGAATCACGTTGTTGCGTACCCATGCCCAAAAGAATGTTCTAGTGGACACACAGACATACCACATGATTAATACGAAATCCAGTTTCGCCAAATGTAGGTTGGACCCAGGCGGTGCGTAAGACTACCGTGCTGCATGTTGAGCTGACCGGCAGTGTCATATGCGGGGAGTAATCGTCATTGTTTACATTACCTCGCACATACATGTCGTTTTCTGATTGGCTGAGCGCTCTTCTGTAATTTGCAATGTACCTAGCTAAGATGAACGCTATGTATCTTAGCTACAATGTACCCTGCTTGCAAGCGAGTAGCATTTTCTGTTACACGCTGGGAATGCCGAACTGCGGGAATTCATTTGGTACTTCTCGTTAGTAATTCTTTATCTCGAATAACTGAGTCCTGTGCTTCAAGCAGTTCAAAGATAACATTGAGGTTTTCCGTAAGATAGACATACAGACAGAAACTTTTATTGACACAAGCCATAATAAATAGCCTCTGGCCATAAACATAACACTTTGGTTATCAAGATGACTAGGATATAACAAATATTAAGCTTTTTGTACAGATTAGTGGTTTCGTCGCAGGAAAACTCGAGACACATATGCTGCCAAGTTTCATAATTCTTTAACGTTATCAGTAGAAAATAAACTGAGGGCTGTTTAAAATAGTATTGCTTTAAATATTTAACTATTTGATCGCTGTAGAAAGGGCATTCTATAATGAAGTGACATACGTTTTCTATTTCATCGCTGTTACATGTTATGCATCTTCTCTGACCTAGCTCTACTCGGTTGCTGCCGTGTCTCCCTGTCTCCATGTGTAGAGTATACGATGAAAGACGGAGTTTACATTGGGCTGTTCTATGCTTACTATTTCCAACTTTATTCAGATAATCTTCATCTTTATGTGACATTTTAAATTCCTTGTACAAGTAGAGTAGTGGGGATTGCCGTAATTGATTTTGTCATAGTGCTATGTAATTCTCCTTAAATCTGTCTTAAAAGAGGAATGAATTCTGAAATGTTCACAGGGTTTAATAAGATGAAGCCGAAACCGTTGTATTCCAATATACGTTTGATCTCCCTTCATCCAGCTGATGGGTACATTCTTCGCTGCTCGATAGGCGCTATTAAGGATGCAGTTTTCAGATTTCATCAATTTTACCAAGTATTTGATCATATTTATCTGTCGATCGATGATCAGTGGGAACCTTCCTAGTTCCCCGTACAGTTGAATATTGCTGGTACTTTCCTTCACACCGAGTAGCATTTTGACAAAATTTTGCTATGTACCATCCCTATACATTCTGTAGTCATCCATCTCCATATATCGCTCCAATAATGTAGTACAGGTTTTACACAAGTATCAAAAGGTTCAACAGATGATTTAATATCCAGCTGGTGTTTCCTTATATCCGACATGAGGGCGTTTACTGTGTTTTAGTCCTTTTCCTGCTAAAGCTTGCACTGTTTTATTAAATTTTCCGTTAGAAGATAACATTAGTCCCATGTAGTTGAACGCTGATTAAGCATCTCAATCTCTTTTGCATATAATTTGGCTCTTTTTCTTAGTCTGTCATCTTTCCTACGTTCGCGTCTGATATTAAAGTTTCTATCGTTTATTCTTGTATCTGTCCAAGAGCGTTCGTTGGGGGTGCTCTCGGGTGGCAGTTCAGGATGGTGGGCAATAGACGGAAGACAAGTCAGGTGTGAAGTTGAAGACAGCAGCAGCCATGTGTATTATGGTTGGGGAATAATGGTAGTAATGGTACATAAGATGGAAATCACGTGACAGAACGCACATCAGGACCGAGTGGCCAATGTTCCTGATGTGGAGACCCGCTCTGTCACTTACACACATTCAGAAGTCGGACAGCGGTTCTTCATCGTCAACGTAGTCGTTGGTGAGGCGACGGCCTTGGACGACGCCCCTACTAGCCGCACAATCCGTCCGCTTCTGTTGATGATCTGGGCCCGTCTCGTCGCTGACTGGTCTCCCTGAATGACCATGTCAGTCAGCTTAAAACATAGGGACATTATGCCACGTAAGGCAAGGTCACTGACCTATGCACATGTACATACGTAAGATCCGCTGACGTAGTGAGGTGTTGATTGGCATTTACTGATAGCATTAAGAATTAAGGGTCCTGCCCGGAGGGTGGTTTATGATAAGAGGGCTACACAGAATGATTGCTGAATACATTAAACAGACAAAGGGGATAGAATTTCGGTGCACTTTGGATATATATTGAAACACTTGTGTTTGAATATATGAAGTTTTACAGAAACTTATTGAAATGGTTTACTCTATGACATATCGTACACACTATGGTGGGATATGGGTTTTAACAGGGAGTATAAACGTGTTTAAAGCGGTATATCTAAATCTTTGCAGTGCTGCAGATTGACTATTATTACCATGGCCATCAGGTCCTTCTTAACCTTAAGACTATGCCATAATACGTTGAATTCTTATTGTAAGAGGACTTGACCCTCGGACTGCGGTAGGCAGGAGAACTGACGATAGCCTCTGAGATGCTATACTGTAATGTAGCTTTGTATCTAGAGTCCGAATAACGTGTTCTGGATTCACTGATACTCGTCTTTATTTGAAGAGACAATACCTCTACTATAACAAGCCTTGATACATGGTTCGTCATTAGGGCTTTTACTCACAGCTTTAGATGGAACATATTGATTTGTATGCTCATTAAAGCATTCTTCAATGCATCCTTACGCTTCATCCACATTGTTAAAATGGTGAAACAGATCCAATCTGTACCACTTATAAGTGCATTCACCTTATCATTATTACCATCTATAGAACGCCAACTTACTCTTTATATGTTGTCTGTTCCACATGAAGCCAACAAAATACTTAAGTTTCTTTTTTCGATGTGTCGTCAATTTCGTTGGCAGCGAAAACATGTGACAGAATCTCGCACCATTCTTCCCAAGTCGACTTCCGGGGTTTGAATTCCAACAATCCCAGTAACACATTTGAAGTTGCCATATTTTTCTGTGAATACTAGTAAATCCAGAAAAGCGAAACACAATACCTTGACCGCCACTTCCAACTTCATGCCGGTCGAAAGTACTTGCATAATTCAAATGTCTTAACTCAAACCCACGTGCGCGAGTGTCCCGTGCAGTGTCAAACACACCTCGCCATAGTTTCGTATTCACAGCAATGTTCATTCAACAGACTTCGGAAACTTTACCGTTCTTCTTAAACGTCTCTGTAAATCTTCAGTCCCGTAAAATCCCATCCAATGTTAGGTTCGTCAATTAATTAGTTCATGTTCCATGCACTAGCACATGCACAAACCACACAACATCTCGACTGGGTGACTTCTGCTGGGCCCCTTATTCGGTGACCAGTATATTGCACGTGCAGCATGGGATAGTGATTTCGCAACGACTAATTATATATCATAGCGTCATGCAGCGGTAGTCTAACGACCTACAATTTTTAATAATTTCAAATTTATTACCAATTATAACAATGCGAATTTAGTTGAGATATATACATCTATGCAAATATATGTCCCCTTAAGATCGTGTATTGTGTTGTATTAAATTCTGTGACACCACTTTCTCACACATCTAAAGCCTTACTTATCATAATTTGATCTAAACGCGTACTTGTAGTTTGGGTGTCGCTGGTGGGTTCCGTTATGACGTTACGCGGGTTATTTTTTTCGATGATATTATTTACAGGAAGATTTCTTTGAGAAAGTAAATCTTTGATTAAAACACCTATAAATACTAAGTTATCATCTGAATTTGCCGATTACATAATGTTGTCCAATCTCCCAAAAAGAAGTACTTGGCTACATTCCGATCTGTAGTCCGTATATAACAATAAAGACTTTTTAGGAAGAAATACATTTATCCAAATGGTATCGTCATACATAGTTTCAAGACCTAGAAGTCTAAATGCGAAATCCTTGCAGTATTGTCCTGTTGAACCTGTT